CAGCACTTCATATTGAACCACTGCTCCAGCTGCCAAAACTTGCCAGGAGGGGTCCCTGGGCCTTACCTAGCACAGCTTGGAAGGTCAAAAACAATAATAGCTATTTTTTTATCTATATTATGGCTAAATGGATGAAATAAGATACATTTAAGACATCAGAAATGTGCATATATTTTTTATTTTTATTGAGGCACCATGATTTATAATATTGTTAATGATAAAGTTTCATGCATACAGCATTCCAATACCGTACCTTCCACTAGGGTATTCATTTCCCTCTACCCATGCATATCTGCACATTTTTAAATGTAAATCACACATCAACCTCCTATACTATACCAGTCATTGTAGACATGCCCAGATTTTCTCAGCTTCAACACAACAACGCAGGGAAACCCCTCACTCTCTTTATAGGGAGGGGTTGATCCTGCATACTGTAACATGTTTTGCAACTTCTCTGCCTTCTCCTTGCTAGTTATCTGTAGCACACCTCAAGTTGTGACAACGAAATATGAGCCCCATGTTACCAGTGTCCTGTGGGTGAGGCAGTGAATGAATGAATCACCCTCCAGGAGACCTACTTGTGCCTCCCAACATCAGGTTTTCTGTAATGTTCTTTAAAATCAGTCAATTCTCACAAACTCCATACATGATCTGGTATGGAGGTTGTCAGTCTTTCCTTTTGCTTCTGGGCCTCCCACCCAGTGCTCCCGCCCCCGTAGATTTTTTGTTTGTTTTGCTTTGGGGTCACACCCAGCATGCACAGGGGTTACTCCTGGCTCTGCACTCAAGAATTACTCCTGGCGGTGCTCAGTGGTCCATATGGGATGCTGGGAATTGAACCCGGGTTGGCTGCATGCAAGGTAAATGCCCTACCCACTGTGCTATCGCTCCAGCCCTGCCCCTTTGATTTTTTATTTGTAGAAGAGAGTCTAGGGGATAAATTGAGGCCTTATGCTTAATTGTTGTTTTCTGTGTTTCGCATCATTCACACTCTCTAATCTAAAGATTTTTTCAGGTCCTGAAAAAGCTCTCTGACACCAGTTAATGACATTTATATTGTTTATAAATAACAAACAGCAGTATCAAATCAACATAGAAGCAGAATACTGAGGGGTTTTTTTTTTCCATTGAAGTAGAAGTTTTCAGAAATGCTCTATCAGTAAGCATCTCACAAAGTAAGAGATTTGTAATACTGGGTAATTAGCACCAAGATGCTTTCTTATTATCCTACTTATCCAGGAATTGACTGTTACTAAGTGATGAAGAACAAAAGGGAGGGGTTTGAGTGTTGTTCTTTGACTTTCACAAACATGGCGTGATGTGTCATCACTTGACTATAACCTCAAATTAATGTAGCTTTCACCCAGGGACTTGGAATTTTTCAAAATCTTTCATTAACTGATACTTTGATGAGCTTAGTAAGCTTTCTGTCATATTCTTACCTTATTAGCCTATAAACAGTGATGAGAATCATATGGCATTCCATTATCTATGGACTTCTCAACTGAAAAAAAGCAAAGTCCCTGAGATGTAATTAACCAGAATGAGCCAGCACCCTGGAATTTGTGGTCCAAGTGTAAAAGAAGGCAGAGACAGGAGCAAACCAGAATTTCTGAGTGCTCATAATTTTTTTTATTCCTTATTAAATCCTGTAAAGAAGTTAAACTCTCACAGATCTCCAAAGGTTCAATTGTCCAGGATTCAATCTTTGACTTCCTAGGAAATGTTATCTACTCTGATGGCCCAAAATACCAATTCCCAAGGGTATCTCTTCAAACTCAGACTTCTCAGAGCTCCCGACTCTTTTATCGAGCTGACTTCTCCCTACCATGACTTGACTATGGAACAGAACACATCCTTGAGTGATTCCATTTCTTATCTCGCCCAGGTTTCTCTTGGGTCAGTTGCATACACATTTTCTCAGCTATTCAGGTCACAAACACTGGACTCACCCTTGACATCCTTTCTTGCAGAGCTAACGTGCAGTCTACCAACAAATCCTGGCAGTTCTTCATTTGAAATATTTCCAGAGTTCTATCACTTCTCACCCTTCTCCCAGCAACCACCCCAGATTGAGAAATCTTGATCTGAATTATTGCGACAACTCACCTCCATGTTTGTCTCCTCCAGTCTATTCTTAATGCAGTCAATGTCATTGTTTAACTTTCATGCCCTGGCATGTTTCCCCTCCACTCCTATGCCACAGTGCCTTGCAAAGGCCTCGCAGGCCTACGGTCCAGAGTGATATGTGACCTGCCATCTCACTATTTTTATTTCTTACAGCACACCTCCTTAATCCTCCTGGTCCTGGTTCAGATTGGCCCTAACCACTCTCTATTAAACAATGTGCCCTCCATAGGAACACTCTACTCCCCATATTTTCTATTATAGCTTTATCCTCCCTTTTTATAGTTTTTTTCTTAATAAATATGTTTACACATTATTTAGTATAAATAGTTTTGTGTGTGTGTGTGTAAATTGGGGTAAGTTCTGGGCCTTTTTTTGCCAGCTCCTGAAAATTGATAAAAACAGGAGAAATCATGTGTATATGTATGTATATAAATAAAAGCTAGCAAACTATGACCCATAACCAATAGCTCCATTCCCTAGTTTAAACAGTCATAATCTGGAAATTCTCTTTGTATTAGCAGAAGGTGGTGAAGGGGAAAATGATGAACACGCAATGGAAACAATGTGTGAACTACAAAGACTAAATCATTTGCTATCTGACTCTTTTCTTCAGAAGGCTTTGCAAACTTATGTGTTAATGTATTGTTTCCTCACACTAGAATATAAACTTCTGAAGGCAGAGACTTCCATTTTTATTCAATATAATTTGCTCAGAACAAGGACAATCTGGTATAATGTAGCACTGTAGCACTGCAACGCTGTCCTCCTGTTGTTCATCGTTCATCGATTTGCTCGAGTGGGCACCAGTAACATCTCCATTGTGAGACTTGTTACTGTTTTTGGCATATCGAATACGTCACGGGTAGCTTGCCAGGCTCTGCCGTGCGGGCGGGATACTCTCGGTATATTTAACATATGTCACCATAAAAAAATCACCTTTAAGGATTTACTCTTATAGAAACTTTATAATAATAATAATAATATAATAATAATAATAATAATAATTCCTCCCATTGTTCATCGATTTGCTCGAGTGGGCCCAGTAACGTCTCCATTGTGAGACTTCTTGTTACTGTGTTTGGCATATTGAATACTCTAGGTAGCTTGCCAGGCTCTCCGAGAGGGGCAGAGGAATCGAACCCAGCTCAGCCGGGCTGGCTGCGCGCAAGGCAAATGCCCTACCGCTGTGCTATGTTTTACAATATTCTTGATTATTGCCACCAAAGTATGGTATAGCCTCATGACTTTTTTCCATAACTAGAAATCTGGATCCTTGGTCCTCTTTCTACTCCACAAAACTTCCTTCCATTATGACCATTTTGTTATCTGTATCATTGAGTTTTATGTCATTTTGTTTGGTAATTGTAAAATTATGTAGCATAGCACTGTAGCACTGTCTTCCCGTTGTTCATTGATTTGCTTGAGCAGGCACCAATAACGTGTCCATTCTGAGACTTGTTGTTACTGTTTTTGGCATATCAAATACGTCACGGGTAGCTTGCCAAACTTTGCCATGGGGGCGGCATACTCTCGGTAGTCCTATAATATGCAAGAAAATATCTTCATACTATTGTAATCATCTTACCTAAACTATAATACAAATTCTAAAATATTTAAAATTTTAAATCACCAACGAATTAAATAAATTCAATAAAATTTTTACAAAGGAAAGAAAGAAAAACTCTCAGCTACAAACAGCCAACCACCAGTTCCCAGAAGCAGCAGCCACGTCAGAACTTTGAAACTGAAGCGATGAGTACAAAAATGGTCAAATAGATCAAATCTTGGACTTTAATAGTCTGACAACAGCACAAGATTTTGAGGCTGCCAGATTCATAACCATCTTTAGAAGAGGAAGTCAGGAGAACTGACAATTATCTCAGCTGATACCCAGAGCTGTCATCTGGACTAGCTGCTGTATCTAATCAGCATCCTCTAAGGCCACTGACTTTAGGACTTAGACTAGCTGGCTGAGATACTACGTGTATTTCATAACAGCCAAGAGTCAGCCTTACTAAATGTGTGAATGCCAGTGGCTGTATGTTTTTATACAAGGTAGAGGTCATGGTTTCACACCCTGGGGTTAACCTAAAAATGACAAGCAGCTGTATGCCGGCCAGGATAACATGCTTCTTGCAGTTGAATTTCAAATGTTGATCTCTTTGTCTCCATAAGTTCTTATATACTTTGTCATGTCATCTTCCCCCCCCCACCCCAAAGAGTGGACTTTAAATAGCAACAATTGAGGCAAATATACTAAATTTTGGGTATTTCTTATCTCTTTACCTGACACACTATAATATCACAGAATAATTCCTAGGAAATTGTGAACTTATAGTATCATTTTTAATGTTAGACTATGTAAAGGGATAAAGTGTTAAGTAGCTGGCATTATATAAAGCTTAATTATTATAGGAAAATCAAGTATAGATTGGCTAGAAAAAAATAATTGCAATGTTTTCACCAAGTAAGTTATTTGGAGACTTTGTAAGAAAATATTGTGAACTGATAATAGTGAATACTATTCCTTTGGTTGAACTTAAAATACAAGTCTCTTTGTACAAGAATTCACTATATTTCATTTGGAATTAATTTTGGTAATTGCAATGAAAACTATTAGGGTAAAACCTTATAGTTTTAGTTTTTAGATTTAGTTTATATAGTACCCTTATCAACAGAATTTTTTTAACTTGCACTGAAAATACATAAAGTCAGATATTAGCTAGGTACCTTCTATATACTAAATGAAATGTTTAATGTATGACCATGTTCTTAGAAGGTATTTAAATATTTACATGCAATATTCCAAGTAGAGTTTTGAAAACTGTATTTTGTCAATAACACTGTGTTTTTGTTGTTGTTGGCAGACTTGAGAAAGAAATTCAAGACCTTGAAAGGGCTGAACTGCAAATCTCAACCAATGAGGAGGTAATTTTAAAGAAACTAAAATCAGTTGAGAGGACAACAGAAGACATAATAAAGGTGAGCAATAGACTGTTTTTAATTTGCTCTTCTCTCCAAAAATGAGTCCAAAAATAATATACAATTTTTCAAAGTATATCCACATTTAGGATTTAAATTATACCATATTAATCATGAAGAACTTTTTTTCTTGTAGTCTGTGAAGGTGGAAAAGGAAGAAACACCAGGAGGTATATTTATTTTTTGTCCTTTTTTAGTAAGTCTACTTTAATTTGTCCTATTATTATAAATATATTCTAACTATGTTTTTCATTTATATTAATTTTACAGTGTCAATTGAAGACATATATGCTAATATTCCTGACCTTCCAAAATCCTATATACCTTCCAGATTAAGGAAGGACAGAAATGAAGAAACAGAAGATGATGAACAAAACAGAAAAGGTATATGAGAAAAATGTACTTACTAGCAAGTTCTCTAAGTTTTTCTTAAATAGTATCAGCTATTAGCAATTTTCTATGACATTCTATGCTTTAAGTTAAGAAATGGCTCATTTCATAAAGTTGTATAAGCTATGAGAGCCATTTGTATAGGCAAAGTTAATGAGATTATCGTATTTATTTCATGCTTTCTATTTCCTAGCAAACTAGCAAGGCACAGAAAAGATAGACTTGAAGTAAACAGACACTCTCAAAAGCAGTGCTTCCTACTCAAAAATATCTCTCCAAATATATTCCATTGGTTGATACTCATTGGGCTTCAAAGATCTTTTATGAAAATATTCCTCTTGGAAAGGTTAAGTATTATTAACTCCTTTAAGAGTAATTTTTCAGACAACTTCAAAGTCTATGAAAAAAATAAATCTTGTACTAGAGGAAAGAGGAAATCTTTGAATCTGGCAAGCGTAACTACACTCTATTTTTGTAATAATATTCATTTGTTGCCCTAACAATATTCAGTGAATATCTACTATATGCCAAGTTCAGCTCTCATGCTAAAAAATTGTGAGAGGGAAAAAACAAAATAACAAAACTGTCTTCTCTCATGGAGTTGAAACTCTTGAGAAAATAGAGTCAAAAATAGGAAATAAATCAAATTACCATGTGAGGGTGTGAAAATGTTAGAGAAAAATATGAATCAGTGAAAAGACAATCATGGATAAGGATGTTTCAATTTTAGAGAGTCAGGAAAGTCAAAAATAATCAAGCTAGAGGTAGGTAAAATGGGGTTAAAAAAATGAAGGAAAAAATCCACAACAATGCTAGCATCCACACATTGTAATTTGCCTAGAATTCTATTAGCAATGATATGCCATTAACTCTGAGAATGTTGTCTGGGATATCAAGTGGATCTCAACTTCCCCCACCCCAAATCAACCAAGTCTCACCAGTCTAGTTAAAACCTGCTAACAGCTCTATTTTCAGCCCTTCTTCTGTTTGACAAAAGAAACAAACGAAAAAAGGAAAAGCATGTTATTTCATTTCTTCACCCTCTGTCTTCAATACCAATTATACATTTAAACAACAGCCCTGTTGTAAAAAGTTAAGAATAATGAATAATTTTAACAGGCTGCTGACCTGGAAAGTGAGAATAGAATTTAATGGGGCTGAAGAGGTAGCACAGCGGGTAGGGCGTTTGCCTTGCATGTGGTTGACCCGGGTTCCAACATCCCATGTGGTCCCCTGAGCACCGCCAGGAGTAACTCCTGAGTGTAGAGCCAGGAGTAACCCCTGTGCATCACCAGGTGTGACCCAAAAAGCAAAAAAAAAAAAATTAATGTACTGGTTTAAATCATTTATCCATTGTAATGTATACAATTAAAAGGAGGTTCAAGTCTTTCTGTTGAATGAAGAGTACAAATCTGTCTTGTTGGATTATCACTGAAAAGAAAGGACTGACCAGGAGCCCACCAGGAATGATTCCTTCTGGTGGGCTCTGAGGATTCAGGAGTAAACCTTGAGCACACCCAGGTGTGTCCCAAAACAAACAAACAAAACAAACAAACAAAAAAGATAGAAAAGAAAAGGAAAAAATTTAAAAAGGAAGAATATTCTTATTCCCAATGAATATTCTTACTGTTTGGAGTCTCTTTTTCAATTCTTCACCCTTTTCAGTAACTCTGTGTATCCATATATAAAACCCATGACATTATAACATTGTTAATCATATCATTAACAATATCAAAAAAAATTTAAAATAGACACCTCTCACATTAAGTCAAATATACTTAGCTAAAAATAGATATTTTAAGCAAGCTGGCTTAAAGGGAAAAGTTAACAAGATCAAAAATATAATTTGTCTCTTAACAGCTCTGTATGCGATGGAAATTAAAGTTAAAAAAGACCTGAAAACTGGAGAAAGTACAGTCTTGTCTTCAATACCTCTCCCATCAGATGACTTCAAAGGTACAGGAATTAAAGTGTATGATGATGGACAAAAGTCAGTGTATGCAGTAGGCTCCAATCCCAGTGAAGCACACAATGGCACGGACGGCTTGGCACCTGTGGAAGTAGAGGAGCTTTTAAGACAAGCATCAGAGAGAAACTCTAAATGCCCAACAGAGTATCATGAGCCTGTATATGCCAATCCATTTTACAGGCCTACAACTCCACAAAGAGAGAAGTTAACCCCTGAACCAAATTTTCAAGACAGGATAAAGATGAAAGCTAATGGATTAAGAAATGATATGAATGAATCTATACCTACTATGGACAATGGACTTTCCGAGGAGAAGCCCAACAGTTTCAATCATGCCAGCCCTGCACGGCCAGTGCCTCATCCCCGTTCGATAACTCAGCCAACAGAGGAGACATCCCATGCCCTTCAGAAGAAGCCAATAAATCCTCGGGAAGAACCAAATATGACCTGGGACAAGTCTGTGTCTTCTCCAAAAGCAAGACAAAGTCCCAGGGAAGCTCTCGTTGGGAAGTCAGAACTCCAGGGGCCTTATCCTACTGGCCAAGAGGAGGAGGAAGACGTCAGGTATAACATCATGCATGCCTTGCCTCCTGACGTGAACAGTACAGAACCTGTGACAATGATTTTCATGGGGTATCAGCAGGCAGAAGACAATGAAGAAGAGAAGAAGCTTCTGACAGGGTATGATGGGGTTATCCACGCTGAGTTGGTTGTGATTGACGATGAGGAAGAAGCTAGGGAAGAAGCAGAGGAACCATCCTACCACCCTATTGCTCCCCATAGTCAGGTCTACAAACCTCCCAAACCAACACCACTTCCCCGAAAGAGATCCGAAATTAAACCACAGGAAAACACAAACAACAGATCTCCTCACAAAAATTCCATATCCCTGAAAGAGCAAGAAGAAAGCTTGGGCAGATCTGCTCTCCATTCTCCCACTCACGTTCAGATCCCAGGAGATGGGACTGAGGATCCGTCCTTAACAGGTAATAAAAAGAATAAGGCTTGCCACTGCTGTCTAGTCATGTGACAATGTTCTCTTCGGGTGGGTAACCAACCCTCTTCTTTTCAGCTTTACTTGACCACCTCATAGACAGAAGCATCCATTCTAAGGGCTTTTTTAACGCTGATTTACCTTATCCTCCCCATAAGTAAAATTCAGAAAAAACTTTAATTGTTGCCTTATTTGGGTATTATACTGATCGATCTTAGTAACTTGAAATTGTTCCTCGGCCATAGTGTGGCACTGTGCAGGAATGTATTTAGATCATTAATATATTGGATCATCAATAACATATCTTTTCCAACCAGAATGCAACGCCAGCTACTTTTTGGAGCCGTTCTATGATTTGGACTTATTCCATAAGTTAATGAATTGCCTTAATTTTACCAAAAAAAATCAAATTAAAGAAAAAAACTAATTTTACTTTCAGGATATTTTATTACTTTGCTATATCTTGTTCTCTGTATATTTATAGTTTTATGGACTTTATTTCCTTAGATTATCTACATTTTTAATGTCAATTTTACTTACATTAAGCTATACAGTTAACTTTGCATAGTTTTCCCTAACTTAGATAATTTATTTTTTATATTTTTTCATTTTTATTCTTTATGCATTTTTCTAATTAGCTTTTATAGCTTTCAGTGAAAAATAATACTTTTTCTACAAAAGTGATAGATCATCAAGTTTAGATGTCATGTTATCACTTGGATACTGTATTCTCATGCATTAAAAAAAAAAGAATCCGACAAAATCATTCTACTTAATTTGGCTGAAGACAAAGTCAAATTACCCAGACACATAGGTACTGGATGTATGAAAGGAAGAGTAATTTTAAATGTCTCTAAGTGGACTGGAAGAATTCACATTATAAGCAATAATTATTAAACTCCAGTTAATCCAGCAAAAAAAAAAAATTCTTATACTTCTATAGAAATACGACAACACCTGCACAATTTAACAGTTTTTCTTGTCTAAAATCCATCAACCCAATCTTGGGTTGCCAATAATACAATCAGAAGAACTTCTTTCATTCTCTTAAGAATTTAAATTAAACACATTGCTTGCAAATATAATTATCTAATGAATGTCTAACCTCTTAATAAGTGCACTCTTTGATTATCTTTCTAAATCAAAATTGAATGGTGTGCCCCACAACGGAAACTTTCTGAAACGAAAAGTTCTTTTCTGTTTTGAGAATGAATTTTGTTTGCTGATCAGACTTGGCAAACACATTATTATGTGAAGTACAGTTACATTGTCCATTTAAAATCTTTTTTTTTTTAAGTTGAACCTTGGCCAGCTCCTCCTAAACACCCTTACTCCTTCTCCCCTCCCCATGTCAACACATTTACCCTGTAGAAAAAGACAGGAAGTGACTAATGTTTCCAGACAACACTAATCATGTCACTGAACTAAAATAATGAAAACAGGAAGACCTATTCCAGACAAAGTAACAATACAAAGTTCTGTACTATCAATCAAAACATCTTATAAACAGAATGCTCCAAATTCCTTCCCTTCCATCAAGATATTGTTTTACTTTCTTGTTTTCCAATTCAAGACATGGCTAAGAGAACTGATGTGGCTTTTATTTTTAAAAATTAAGTATATTATATTGACAAATGCCTTCCATAAACACAGAAAAACCTAATCGCCCTGATTTCACAAGTACCAGATAGCCTGAGCTTTGCCTACTAATCTCCACCCCCTCAAAAAACTTACTGATACTTGAAATTTGATCACTTCCCTCCAATTCTTTATGATACAGTTTCACTACTAAATATAAGTATTCCTGATTGGCATGATAATTTAAAATTCATAGTCTCATTTCTCTTGGTGTAAATATTAAAGTCTTCTCTAAGAACAATTTTTGACTTGGAAAAGAGCATGTAGGAGGAAAAAAATGATAGGATAGATGGACCTGGGGACCCCAAAGACAAGGTCTTTCTGTCAATATTACAGAGTAAGACATGAGGAGAAAATTTAGACAAAACTGCAGCCATCTGTTAATGAAAATTTTCCAGGTTCATATTCTAAGACATAGATCAGTTCTAGATATTTCCACCACCAAGTGGCCCCTGCATACTCTACCAAGATCCACAACTGTTGCCACCAGACAGTTGATTTTCTTCAGGGGTTCTTATTCTTGCACTCCTCCTCCTCCTCTGTTTTCTCCTCTTTCAGAAAGATGGCTACAACATTTCAGAATTAGGAGACAGGGAGCCTCAACTCCAGAAAAATCACAAGCTATAGTGCCAAAATTGGGAACCTGTGACCACCATTAGGAATCAAGGGGTTATTGGTAACAAAGAGAAAATCTCTCTTCCTCTGAATTCAACTACCCAGATTTATATAAAAGGTAGAATGCAGAGACGAGCAAGAAAAAGAAATAAAAGGAAAACTAATGACCCAGACACTTTAACTGCTCCATCTAGATGCCTTCTCACTGCTGCCTTGCTCCACTTGCCTGCTCTGCCACAGAGTTACTTGCCATAAGTCTAAGGTAAAGGTAAAGGCCCTCCCGTTGATCGTCGATTTGCTCGAGCGGGCCCAGTAACGTCTCCATTGGAGACTTTGTTGTTACTGTGTCTGGCATATCGAATACTCTCGGTAGCTTGCCGGGCTCTCCGAGAGGGGCGGAGGAATCGAACTCGGGTCGGCCATGTTGGCCGCTTGTAAGGCGAACGCCCTACCCGCTGTGCTATCGCTCTAGCCTGCCATAAGTCTACAGAAAGGAAATAAAGATTCTACTACCTAGAATGGGCTGGAGCAATAACACAGCGGATAGGGCATTTGCCTTGCACGCAGGTGACCAGGGTTCGATTCCTCTGTCCCTCTCAAAGAGCCTGGCAAGCTACCAAGAGTATCCTGCCCGCACGGCAGAGCCTGGCAAGTCCCAGTGGCATATTCGATATGCCAAAAACAGTAACAACAGGTCTCACAATGGAGATGTTACTGGTGCCCACTTGAGCAAATCCATAACAATGGGAAGACAGTGCGACAGTGCTACAGTGCTACTGCCTAGAATACTCCACCCACTCCCTTCAAGACAAGGGTCAGCGAGTTAACTGGATTTCCTAACTCCTGAGGCTCTCATACCCATGACATCCTTTATGAGTATCATAGTATCATATTATTAATATGCACTTGCCATGCATGCAACCAAACCCTGTTCAATTCCCAGCACCGCATATGCTCCCCCAAGGACTGCCAGGGTCACTCCTGAGGACAGAGCCAGAAGTCTCTGAGCACCACTGTGTGACAGCTGCTCCCTAGGAAAGAACATCATTGAATATCCACAGCACTTAGGATTGGCCTGATTTGCTGGAAGGGAAGAGGGACTATAAGAGAATTATGTCCTGGCCTTAAAGTGACCTTTTAAAATCCCTTAATTCCCATTACTCTCTTTGGTGAGGGCACGGTGGACGTACACAAAATCTAAGAGCAGAACCTTTGTGCATTCTTACCCTTTGCCTCCAGTTCACTTCCTGCTGTCAAAATATGGTCCTCACCTCAGGTTTCATCATCCCACAACTTCCAGAAACAGAGAAAAGGAAAGTCTCTGCGTTGGTCCTCAGTTGAAGGGAGTGCTGTTAGTCATGCCACTAGAAATGATTTTTCCTCTTAACGTATCAAGGGAACTAATGTAATTTGTCTTCATTTTAATGAAAATCTAATATGATTAGGTGATACTAAATATAACCATAGTGTTATTATAGTTAGGGCTGAAGTGATAGCACAGTGGTAGGGCGTTTGCCTTGCACGCAGCCAACCCCACCGACCCAGGTTCAATTCCTCCGCCCCTCTCAGAGAGCCCAGCAAGCTGCTGAGAATATCTCGCCTGCACGGCAAAGCCTGGCACACTACCCGTGACGTATTCGACATGCCAAACACAGTAACAACAGGTCTCACAATGAACATGTTACTGGGCCCGCTCAAGAAAATCAATGAACATCGGTAGGACAGTGACAGTGACAGTTTTTATAGTTAGATTTCCATCCTTTCTCATACTTGTGAAAAAGTGCTTCTCTCTGAGATCTATCCATTCATTACTAACAAACACCTAATGGACGACTGAGAAGTGAGAGGTTATGTCTTTTCTTTAAAACTGAAAAAAAAAATTTTGGCTTTGAAGCCACATCCAGCAGTGATCAAGGCTTACTACCTGCTCTGAGCTCTGGGGTACATAGGTGGTGCTTGGATTAAACTCAGGTAGACCATGTGCAAAGCAGGTGCCCTACCCACTGAACCATCTCTCCAGACACAACTTCTTCAAATGTTAATATCCAACAAAAGTGATTGTTGTGATCAGTGCCTTGAAAGTATCTCTCAACCTCTGAAATATGACTGAGGCAGCTATATGCTGTAGTCCCAAATACTAAGGGCATCATATTCAAACATCAAAGGAGTATTAAAAATTCTAGACCTGTTTTTTTAAAAATAATTCTATTCCCAATATATAATTATCAGCAGAAGATATATTTGCCACTTGACTATTTTAACAGTTATCTTATAATTACACCAGTTCTTAATTACTGATTCACAGGATTTTATTCACAATCTATTTCTATATCCAAGGTTAGAACCTCTTAAAATAACTGAGATGGACAACTTATAGAATAACTTAACCATCAATTAGAATGTCAGTCTCAATGCCTTTTTTTTGAGTAATGCCTACTTCAGAAATATGCACAAAAGCCAATCACTGACCTATAGAAACTGTGGCTAATAGTGAAAATATGCACTCAACCATTATTTATTCCATATATTTTATTTGCTCTGCTATTTTTTCTAATTTTTATAGAAACCGGTTCCTTCTCGTTCTCAACCTGCTTCTGTTCTAAGTTAACCATAGCTTATTATTTCTACTATCTTTTTATGCTACTAAACAATGCTCACATTGTTGGATAAAATCATCTGAGGTATGTTCTAAACTTTCCTGCATTCTATGAAATGGTCATTTAGAGTGAAAATTTAGACTTTTTCTAAAGTAACTTTTTTTTTCCTTTAATTTACAGCTTTAAGAATGAGGATGGCCAAGCTGGGGAAAAAAGTTATCTGAGACGTGTACCATCTATCTTAACATCCTCTGGAGAAGAAACTAACAATCTTTAAAAATATCTTTTCTGGATATTTTTTCTTGCTAAGTTCCAAAAAATGTATAATTATATTAAGCCATGTGAATACGCAGTAGTTATTATTTGTGAAAAAAATTGAAAAGGCAGGGGAGAATAACTATGTAACTTTCCTGTTTACTTGACAAGATTCAGTAGGGGTGGGTGGGGACCAGCATATTTTTATTGTATCTATACCAAAGCATTTCTTATAAGAGCTTATAAGCTTTAAGAATAAAGTTATTTAAAATAATATGACTACTTCTATTGACGTTATAACTTTGCTACTCCACAAATTGAAAGCCAATGCACTTCATTACAGAAATAGTCATTTTGACCTTGATTGGTAACCAAGATAAACAATGCTTTGGACACTTTTCTGGAACTGGAGAGATAACTCAAAGGAATAGAGTGCATTCTAGGCTTGCACAAGGCCCAAAGTTCAATACCCAGCAACGTACATTCCCCCAATGTATCGTCTTGCCAGGTGTGGCTGCGGTGACCCCCAGAGCTGTTAGACCCACTGCAAGAACACTGTAGTATCAGGCCTGTTCAGCTGGAATATGACCCCTGAAAACTGCTTAAGAAAAAGAGAGAGAGAGAGAGAGAATGAGAATGAAAGAGGGAGAAAGGGAGGGAGGGAGGGAGGGAGGGAGGGAGGGAGGGAGGGAGGGAGGGAGGGAGGGAGGGAGGAAGAGTGGGTGGGTTCTTCTAAGGACCAATTCAATTGATTTTATCGCATAGTCAATCCCTTAGCATATACATCCAGTGCCAAAATTACCTGCAACCATTGATCTCACATTTGAAGTCTGGATTGGATGACCTTGATAGTGGACGTGACTTTACACATAATTCCTGGCACAGTGGTTCTTCTTGAAATATCATCTTTTCTTTCATACATTACATGTACCTTTGATGCAATGACTGATTATGACCTAAGACTCCTAGATTGAGGCTCCCCATATTCTCAAAGAATACAGATCTGCTCCAATGTTTACATACACTCTTACTGAATATAATCTTGATACTTAAGCTAATTTTTAAAAATGTCGAAATCCTAGTAAGAATGTGTACCTCATGTCATTCGAGGTATTCTTGCCAGAATAGTAAATTGATTTGAAGGAGAATATTCCCATGCCAATAATCAGGTGATAATGAAGGAATAATAATAATAATATTCTCTACCCTACCTGATTCCACTGGCCTCTATCCAATACTCTCAAGATTCAGTCACCCGTATCTTCTGGATCAGGGCAATGCCTATAATTCCCCTGAATTTTCCTTTCAGTGAATAGTATTTTGTTTCCAGGGCAGAAACTGAACTTCCCAGCTGAGACTATGATAAGACCTTATCTTCATTACTAGTTTGTTGGTAGTGAGAGGTCAAACAATGAGAGGTCCTGGCTGGAGAAGGATTAACCCTTGAAGCATCTGCCTCAAGTGTTCACAAAAGGATGTTCTCTAGAGGAGAGACTACTTCTCTAGCATGGAATGTTCTAGAAAAACTGGAAGTTCAGACTTGAGAGGCACTCTTATATAAATACCTCTTCTCCTAGTTGATGGGACTCATTCCTTCCATTTCATAACTATTTAGCAAGTGGCTTGTACATTATTTTACAGTTCTGCCATCCTTGAGACTAAAGCTATGGCTTTGATTCGGGGCTTCTGCACACACACACACTAGTAAGAGGAAATTAGTTAGAAAATTGACATCCAGTAAGTGATCAATAAATGTATGGGCGGACAGTTCTGAAAGGAAAAGATCATCCAAAATGAAACTGAGTAATACCAGCCGGCCTTAGGCAGCATGAGCTGGTGTCTGGTGGGTAAGTCATCCATCAGCCTCCTAGGCAGACGGGAGGCTAGACAGGACATATAGGCTAGGGCTGGCTCAGAGGAGTGGCCCAGCAGAACCAAAAGACGTGAGAGACTAGAGCTGCCTTTTGCGCTGCGTTAGTGGGAAAGTGGCTGCCTTTTGGCAAAGTGGAGTCACAATGAAAAGCCAGAACTACGAGGCAGAACCACTAAGGTGAGGCCTGCCATCCACACACACCAATCCCCGTCTGTAGCAGTGAAAAGGAAGGAAAGCCAAAAGCCCAAGGGACGAGCTTTCCGGTGACTGTTGCCGTCCCTCCCCCTACTGACAAGGTCTAACAACGCAATAGCCGGCAAAGGAAAGAGCTGTAATGGGTTTAGGAAGATCAGCAGCAATGAGTGAGTATTGAGATTAAAGTACTCAGTGGACAACTGGAATAACCCACCTGTTTTTACTTATTGTCCATACTTAAAGGTAAAAGGTCTTTACCCGTAAAAGGCCCTCCCGTTGATCGTCGATTTTGCTCAAGCGGGCCCAGTAACGTCTCCATTGGAGACTTTGTTGTTACTGTGTTTGGCATATCGAATACGTCACGGGGAGCTTGCCAGGTTCTGCCGTGTGGGCGAGATACTCTCGGTAGCTTGCCGGGCTCTCCGAGAGGGGCGGAGGAATCGAACTCGGGTTGGCCATGTTGGCCGCTTGTAAGGCGAATGCCCTACCACTGTGCTATCGCTCCAGCCCAGTCCATACTTATACCTTCTAAATACATTTCTAATTGAAAGTCAGCTGTTTCCCCCAGCTAAGTGCAGCTATTCTTTACACAAAGATCTTTATCTCCAAAATGAGGACACAGATACTCCCAACAGTCACTGCAGCCACAGTTAGCAATAGTAAGCAGAATCTGTCTTGTTTGTTTGGCCTGTTCCAGGTTATACTTAAGTGCTACTCCCTGCTCTGTGCTCAGGGGTCACTCCCTGAAGTGCTCAGGGACCCTGCAGTGCCAGGGGTCAAACCCTGACCTTCTGCAGCCAAAGCATGTGCCTCAGCCCATTACACTGTCTCTCTGGCCTCAGTCTACATAGAATTGTTTTAGATTAATGGAAAAATTGAGAACATACAACATTCTCACACCCAGGTTTTCCTATTATCAATGCCTTACATTAATAAGGTACAATTGTTGTAATTAGTGAATCAATAGTGATCTATTGTTAAATGAAGTCTCATAGTTTGTTCAGAATTCCTTAGTTTTTTTTCTAATGTCCTTTTTCTCTTCCAGGATCTCTTTACCATATTATTTTGTGACATAAAGTCTTCCTTAAATGTGACTCTTAAATGTCTTAAATGTCACCTCTTAAATGTGACTTATAGTTTCCTTGTTGCTATATTTTCTTAAAACCTTGACAGTTTTGAAAATTATCAGTCATACATTTTTGTAGGATAGTCCTCTATTGCAAACTGTCCAATGTTTACTCAAGATTAGACCAGGGTCATGAGTCTGGAGGAGGAAGACTAGAAAGGAAAAGCACAATTTTCATCATGCTACATTAGTGGCACAAACTTTCAACATGATTTATTACTGGCATTGCTGACCCTGTTCACCTGGTTAATACAGTATTTGTCAAGTACATCCATAAGATTGTTCCTCCCCCTTTCTATACTGCATGCTGAGAAGAAAGTCATGATGTTCATCCCATATTTAAGGAGCAGAGACATAAGCTCACTCACCTTGAGGGCAGTTATCTAAGTGATTTCAATTCTTCTGCACAGATTTTCTTTGCTTATTGTGACCCATTTCTTTATTCAGTCATGGATCTAAATCACTTGGTCTGGTGGATATTTGGTTGTGCTAAATAATCTAATGCAAATGTTGCAATGTTGTGCAAATTACTTAACTTTGGGGACTTTCTAATATGTATCTTATTTTTATCTTCTCTAATACTCATCTTTGACTTTTCACTTAAGAGTTGACATCCTGCAAGTGTCTAAGTTTGTTATCTCTTCCTGTACTTGATCCTAAGTTGTTATATGCATTCTGTCTATATTCACTATAAATACTACAAAACAAGGTAAACATTGCTTTCCTGGGTCACAAACACTTATAAAATAATTTAAGTAGGAAAAGTCCAAAATGGTTTTATATTTACAATTATTTACAATTCTAAGTGGGCTGGAGCCATAGCACAGTGGTAGAGTGTTTGCCTTGCATGCAGCCAACATGGCCGACCTGAGTTCGATTCCTCCGCCCCTCTCAGAGAGCCCAGCAAGCTACCGAGAATATCTTGCCTGCACGGCAAAGCCTGGCAAGCACCCCGTGACGTATTCGATATGCCAAACACAGTAACAAGTCTCACAATGTTACTGGGCCCGCTCAAACAAACTGATGAACAACAGGAGGACAGTGACAGTGACAATTCTAAGTGTTCTTCATTCCTTCCTGATGTTTCATTTTTTAAATAAGGTCTTTTTCCTCATTCTTATTGAGATACAGTGATTTACAATATTGCTAAATGAGAAAGTTTCACTCGTACATTGTTCCTACACCACATCCTCCAACAGATTATCAGCTTCCCTCCCCCAATGTCCCAAGGACCCCTCCCAGCCCCAGATTAGCAATGTTCTGTACACTAACTCTGAGGCCTCTGGTATCACTTTTCAATCCCGACAACATCCTTTTGCATTTCTTGAAGTTATATGTGCTAGTAACAGACTCTTTTAGATCTCTTACCTAAAAATGGTCTCCGATTTCTGCCTGCATTCTTGAGGGAATCTTTTTCTGAATATAGCATTCTTAGAGACTTTTCTTTTTCCCTTTCCAAACTTTAAAAGATGTCATTCTACTCCAGTTACTGTTTATAGACTCCTAAAAGTCAACTGTTAACCAATCACTGTTCCCCTGGATGTAATGTTTCCTTTTTCTCTTTCTCCTTCAAATGCAAAAAGCATAGAGTACATTTTCAACAATAAGACTATGGGGGCTGGAGCGATAGCACAGCGGGTAGGGCATTTGCCTTGCACGCGACCAACCGGGTTCAATTCCCAGCATCTCAAATGGTCCCCCAAGCATCACCAGGAGTAATTCCTGAGTGCAGAGCCAAAAGTAACCCCTGAGCATCACCAGGTGTGACCCAAAAAGCAAAAAAAAAAGTAAATTAAAAGTAAATAAAATAAAACTATGATTTGCATAGGCAAGCTTCTTCATGATTTCCTGCTTGGGTTGATTTCTTATCAAATGAATCAGTCAAGGTAGGTCTTTGTTCAATCTCTACTCATTATTGCCTCAGATTCTTCTTTCTTGAGATAGGAACAAAAAGATTGCTATCACCTAGTTGTCAGCATCTCCACAAGGCTCTACTCAATTATTTCCAAAGACTTTTCTTTCCTATCTTCAAATATTAAATAACCTACAATGATCCATCTTCATTAGTTCTTTCTG